CTACATTACCGTAGTTGTACACCTACCAACAGTGCGCAAGTGCATGGACTACAGCCTTTCTTTTTTACAACCGAGTCGTTATAAAACACTGTACTCACACACCATTTATTAGTCCTCAGGTATGGGAGCATTTTTTGATGTGCTGTAACAGAAAGCGACCCCCCAATTTGAAATTATGCTTGTGAATGAAGGGTATGACGCCAATAAATAGAACTCTGAAAGTTGCACTGCCCGATCTTATTACAATGCATTAGCAGCCGAGCAAGATGAAATGCTTTCGCATGTCGTTCCCGGTATACGTAGAAACAGTTACACTCACGCTGACATGACCAGACAAACCACACCTTGAGAACGTGCATGAGGTATATACGCTCATATAACGACGACGTGGGTAGCAGACGACGCACGCCACAATCCACACTTCACCTGGTAGACGTAGAAATTGCTTAATAGCGCAAGCGACAGGAGGGATAGAAGATAAGAGAAGAGAGTGCTGAACTAATTACTAAAGTTTATTGCAAACCAACTTCAATATATGCAAACTTTGGTTGTTGGTTCAGCGCTCTCTTCTCGTCTCTTTTATCCCCTCCTGTCGTTTACGCTGCTAAGCACTTTCTTTGTCTAGCATGCCACACCAACCAGCCCAATCAAGAATTTTGTGACAGTTCGCCTCTTCAGCCAGCTGTCACCAGGCAGCGACTCTACTCGATCTTGCGGCCAGTACGGCTACAGGCAAGGCTTTAACAGTTTTTGAGGTAACTACGCTGCAAATCGTGTTGCGGACTGAATGTGTCCCATGAGGTTCCCTGTTGACTTGTGAAAAGCTAAATATGCATGCTGTTCACTTAGTAATAGAAGAGAGCTAAGGCGGGGCCAGTTTAAATTGAGATAAGGCATATTGTTGCTTCGTAATGGGGCTGCTCCTTTCTTTTCGTTCGCAATTAAGTTAAAATGTTTCTGATAATTAATGTTGTGTGCTTCCGAACACTCGCTTGTCATGTTGGCAGCTGTTGATACATATAGAAACATGCTTACATAAAAGCGGACGCTCCTGTAGTGCCCTGCGGCCCAGCTACTGCGCTGCTTTCAGCGCGCCGAGTGGTTGGTCAGACCCGGTAATGTCTTCAGTATAAATAAAATGACAATTTTTTTTCCTTTCTGACGCTGGGTTTCGAACCCATACCCTCATGCTTCGAGGGCGAGTGTCTTTACCACTACGCCAAACGCCCATTCGTCCACAAAGGGAATACACGTACAGTACATCTAACCTACATGAATGTGGCTTTTTGTGCAAAACAAATGCAGAAAGGCAACACTTTCTAGTCGTACATTGCTGTTTTCTGTTGTAAGGCATTAAATGTCCTAAGAAGAACATGATGTAGAGCAGATATCGAAAATTGCACAAGTAAATAAAATTTCTTCTTTACAAAAATTGACGTCACACTTGCGTATTCATTGTCCTTCTGAGGGGGCTATTACTCTCCTTAAAAAGGAGTAAATGCGAGCATGGGCACGCCATCTAGCGGTTGGTAAACCCGTCCTTGCTTATATGCGAAAAGGTGCCAGTGGCCACTCTTTATATAGTACATTTCTCTAAGGTTGATATTTAAAGCAGATATATGCAGAAACAGTGCGCGCGCTACGACTCCATGCACAAGATATTGTCACGGTGTCGTGACGCCAACGAAGAGAGGAAGCCGTGGGTCAAAGATCAAACTGTTTATTTCACCGATAAACTTGTGGCCAGTAAACGGAAAGTCAGATTACAGTGATGCACATTGGCACTGATAGCAGCGAACAGAGCGCTGGTTGTCGATCAACTTACAAGTGGTGAAGCGTGTCGACATTTACACATGTGCCGTCGAATATTCCAGCGTTATTACTAGCGGCCACGAAGGTTCAAGAATAATCTGTAATGTTAGCGTTGTGCGCGTAATCTTAACAAAGTGATATATTACAGCACTTGAGCTTCTCGAACACTGCAGTGGCGGTGTGCGGAGAAGTACTTGCAGTGCATCGGGGCGATAACAGAACATGATGAAGGAGTATATATATATATATATATATATATATATATATATATATATATATATATATATATATATATATATATATGTATATATATATATTATTATTTATTTATATATATATGTGTGTGTATGTGTGTGTGTGTGTGTGTGCTTGTGTGTGTGTGCGCGCGCGTGTGTGTGTGTGTGTGTGTGTGTGTGTGTGTGTGTGTGTGTGTGTGTGTGTGATGCTACGATGAATCGGTGACGTGGCCTGGCTCATACGCCATGTTTTTTCTATTCTCAGTTCTTCCTCATCTACCTCTACCAACTCCTAACCATCACTACCTTCTTACGTTACAGTAGTCGGTAAATTTGGCAACTATATCCCGTTCCGACCGTGATGCAGCGGTAGCATGGAGCTCGAAAAAGGTCGAACCAGTCCTGTGCAGGTCCATCGTCCGCTGCTCCGGTGTACTTGGGGATGGGTAGATCCGTAGATGCTTCTGACATGATGTTGGTCGATGCGTAATGCTAGGTGCTTGCACGGTAGTCAATGTATGCTCAGAGTGTCTTGCGGAGAACTGTGTGAATGATGAGCGACTGATGAAGTGGCAGGCAGGTCTCCATCCTGTCGACTCGCGTGACGCTATGATGAATCGCTGACGTGGCCTGGCTCATACGCCTTTTTTTTCTATTCTCACTTCTCCCTCATCTACCTCTAACAACTCCTAACCATCACTACCTTCTTACGTTACATATATATATATATATATATATATATATATGTATATATATATATATATATATATATATATATACACGAACGTATACGCACGCTACGCACGCCCGACCCTGGCGCGTACGTTTGTGTACGTGTAGTACACACACATGTGAAATAAAAGACGTTCTGGAAAACAATTACTGCATAATTTGAAAATGGGTGGCACTAGGACTAGCAATAAAAAGAAGCATGTACGAAAGATAGTCACACACGTACCTAGACAAACTTTCTAATGCAATTGCCAACTAATAGAGAAGTCCGAATATTGATAAGAATGCACACACCCTAAATTATGGCGTACTCACCAAGGAGAATTAACTCTTAAATTCGTCGCAAGCGAATCGATTGGAACAAACTACCGTAGTGTCCGACACCTTTTTTTTTAATGCGCAAGTTTCGGATTTGCGATGTTCTTCGTCACGCGTCGTCTGCATCCCTGGGGAAGTGATAAGAACGATACCATGCTTTCTTTCCACTGTGATGTTATGCGTTTAGGGCACACTTCAATGGTCTTTGACCATCACTTTTCTTTCTTTTTGGGAGGAAGGGGGGGGGGGCTCGCGCGTGTGGCATGGCGAAAATAAAGTAACTATGTGGCCCGTTCCCAATGTGTGATATGTGGTAACGTATCTCATTTCAAGGTGGACCCTGTTAGCACCTTGTCTGTAGCCGCAGCCGCAAGGTGTCTGGAACTTAGTTGCATTTCCGAATATCTACTTGAAGTTTTTTCTGGTCAGCAAGGTACGTATGCCCTTGCAATTTTAGCGCAGTTATTATATAGCCCACATCATAACAAATATGCCTTGTTATTGAAATGTTTGATTGGCGCGAATCTACATGTTACACTACAAATGTTGTCTAAAGACGATAGTCTTGAATCTGGAGAGAGTAAACAAAACGTTTATTTGCTGTTCCGCGCAAAAAAATTGGTGAATGGTATTCAGAAGGCGCTGCGTTAGAGTGCCTCGAGCCTGTAGCGGAGGCGAACAAGCGCACCTAGGCACGTTAGACACGAGCGCCATCTGGCAGTTGTCTTCGAAAACGAAGGCGTGCGTGACCGCGGAGAAAGGAGCGCCAGTCTTGGAGGTGATAAGGTGTAGAATTCAAAGCGACGGGCAGGTGCCTCCATCATGTCGTCGTAGCAAAGCATTGGAAACACCTTTTCGGGTATTACGTTGCACTGTCAGCGGAACGCGTCCAACGCTACAGTCCTTAGAGTTACTTGTGTGTTTCTCTTCTAGTATCGAGGCAGACATACAAAACACAGACATGTTGTTATGGGGCCTCAGATATGCACAATATTTGCTTTTTTTAATCGAACGCTAAACCTTGAGTGTTCAAATAACCTTGAACCTTGAACGCTAAACCTTGAGCAATATTGGTGGGCGCTGAGGATGGGGTTGGCCGTTTGGTGCCGTTCGAGGTATTGTTAGGGTGGACAAACAGATAAATGGACAGACAGACAGACAGACAGACAGACAGACAGACCAAAATTTTTACGTTGAAGGTCCCCAAGAAAGGCTACCGTCTTTAAAAATAATGTCAATACTATTGCACTATATTGCATGGCCTGATACGTTGCTACACATCTCCTTTGACAATAGTAGTGTACATTGTCCAAGTTTCATCTTGTTTTCTTACATAATGGTGCGGCTAACTAGCACGGTACTAGTGTTCTTTTTTTTGAAATCATGATGTTAGGAATGTACTGTAGCAACGTGTGTAGGGCTGTTACGTGGCTGACTACAATTCTGAAAGTAATGCAGTGTAAAGACGTACTGAAGACGAAACTGCTCAGCTTACCATCTCATTTTGCTCAAAGAGCAAGTCGGGTGCTTATATTCATGACTGAGTCCAACATATCATTAAAATGTAGAACGAATTGCCACACAGATTTCCCTGTGGCGTTGCTAAACAGATACATCGCGCGCTTAGCTAAAGAACTACGAGAAAACAAGGACAATCACTTACTTGTCCTTATTTTCTCTCGTAGTCGTTACGTAGTTACGCGCTTGTATTTACTAGTTACACGGATTGCAAACTTAACCATTCAGCCATTCTGTCATTTCACAGCGCAGAGTTGGGAATCTTGGTAACATTGCCATTAGAATTACCACAACATTTTGACCGCTTCTCATTCAATTAGGCTGCAATACCAATGAGCCTGCTTAGATAATCTTGCACCCCTAAATGCGCTGAACTTGACGCAGAGACATCACGGCATCTGACGAGACGGACGTATTCCTCGCATGGAACCCAATCACGCACATGTCCGGCTTCATGTTCACCATGCTTGGGATCTGCATCGGCTCCACCTGTGTCATCGTCTCGCCGGCGCTAACGTTCAATCAATTCATCGACGTCTGCAACAAGTACCAGGTTCGTCCGCATACCTTGTAATTGAATGTCCATATACCAGCCTGCCGTAGTGGTCTACTTGCTAAGATACTCGGCTCCTGACCCGCAGGTCGTGGGATCGAATCCCGGCTGTGGCGGTCGCATTTTCGATGGAACCGAAATTACTGTAGTGCCGTGCGTTCAGATTTTGGTGCGCGTTAAAGAACCCCAGGTAGTCTAAATTCCTGGAGATCTTTACTACGCCGTCTCTCGTAACCTTATCGTGGTTTTGGGACGTAAACCCCACATAGCAAATTACACAGAGAATTTATGCACCATGCATTTATAAACATTGGTAAAGAAAGAAAAATGTCAGATTTAGAACCATCACTACAAAGTAAAGTTAGTAGCAAAGATTGACAACAACTAAAAATTTCACAAAATTTAACTGCGGCGGAATACGGAACGAGATGTCAAAGAGCGGCCGCAAAAGCTTTTTTAGTCACCAAGCACACGACTCCATTCAGAACTGTTTAGGGGAAGAAACTGCTTTCCAAAATATTAGTTTTAAAACTATATTCTCTTAGCTCGAGCTCATTATTAGTACGTCTTGCTATATTATTAGGCTGAAAGATGTATACTGACTGCAGTCTATTTCAATTTCGCCATAGTATATATTGCGAACAAGCGTCAAGCTTCAAATTTGCCTTATTTTTCCTAGAACCTTCCGTTTGAATGTTTCCTTGGTTAGTAGTAATGCTAAAGTTCCTTTCATAGCTAATGATAACATACCTTGCACCTGTGTTCTGAACTCTCCCAGGTTTGTCGCAATGAGCATTCGCAGGAGCATCCCACACAAGGCACCCTTACTATAAAATTGGTATGACATAGTTCTTCTAGGTAAGATCACAGACATGCTGTGAAAACAGCTTTGTCAACTTCCGTCAAGATCGACTTGCGACTTTTCCCTGCACAACGATGGAATTCACCTCGGGTAAAAGTTCACATAATAGTTGTAATTATGTAACTAATTATCCAGGAGATAACAGGGCTTAGAGAAGTTTATTTGTAGTAATTTCAAGCAGATAATAGTGAGATAATTACCTCCAAACGAAATTCCGAATCGCGTCAAAATGATGCGGAAAACCCATGTACATAAAAAGTTGGATAGGTTAGCATAACTAACAGATGAACGGTTATTTCAGCGTAAAAAGAATGAGTATCGCAACGAAACGCCACATACTCGTTTGTACGAAAAGAAGCAGATGTGTGTGCAAGTTCTCGCATTGTTCATTTGCTAAAAGAAGAGCTGGCCAAGGCCAGTGCCTGGGAATCCTTGAGCGTATAGGGCACCAGCCACGGATCCTCTAAGCTAACCGTTAAGTCCTACGCTCTCTTTTTCTCAGAGTGTAACAAGAGGCTTCAATAGCGGGCGCGAGTCAGTGGACAAGAGCCATTTCAACTCACGAAAAAAGCGATGCAGTCGGTGACAGAAGTCGAGTCGAAATAACTTGAGTCTGCCGTCTTGATGTGGCACTTCGAGCGACTGCCTAGTGACGTGCGTCGGCCCTTAAGGATCGAATGGTAGTCGTAGACGTTATGAAGTACGTTGTGAGACTTTTCACGGAATTCAATAGTCTAAGTAGGTAACCAAGGTGAGGATTCTGAATGGATGACACGTATTTATGTTTAAGACCTAGGAAGGTTGCATATTCTTCTGAGTGGACCTAGGCTATAAACAGATTTCCTCTACTATAACGAAGTTTCTTTGGAGAACTAGTATTAGGTTTCGTAACACGCTGGGGTACCTTAGTGAATAGGGTGTCTTGTGCCTTTGCAAAGCTTGATAACGCTGGTTCGAATCATGCTCGCGACAGTCGCGTTTTAATGGGGGTGAAATGCGCAACCAACTACAGGCTTACCTTTGCGTGTGTGTTAACAAAGCCCAAGGGGTTGACATTGACCCATAACTCACCACTGCAACATGACACATAATCATATGGTGGTCATGCTGTAGGCCCAAGTGCTCAGACTTGGGTGCACGTTAAAGAGCCCCAGGTGGTCTAATTTTTTGGTGCCCTCCACTACAGTGTATCTCATATACATATGTTGGTTTTGGGTTATTAAAACTCGCATATGCATGAATATAATGGTTTTCACACGTAAAACTGATTTATTAGTTGAGCAATTTGTTCACTATAAGACAACCACATGATAAGAGAGAGAGAGAGAGAGAAAGAAGGCAATCCAACAAAAGCAAGAAAAGCGTAGCATTGCAAATATGTCACTATTTCTTTTGTTGCACACAAAAACGCTGGCGCAATGCAGTGGTTCGGCTCTGCTTGATCTCCAAATTATCGATTAATTGACTCACTTTGTACGACCACTATGCCTCCTATCTGCATGTCGAAATGGCGTACTTGTAAACTGGCTAAAAAAGCCAGCTGCCTGATCTGTTTCGCTTCTTCTTCTGAGTGGCTCCTTGCAATGTTGTGCCAGTCGATGCGTTAGAGCGTAAATTAGGCCAACACTAAATTCGAGCAAGAGAACCGCAATGAGTCTGAAGGTAAGTTCCTCGTCCATAAAGGCTTCAAAAGAAGTTGGTTTCTGAAGAGCAGCTACTCTTATTTAACTAAAAGGGGGCCAAGTCTGCCCTCTTATAACTTTGACCCTGGCCTGTCCAGTCATCAACAAATGTGCAGCAATAGCAATAATTATTGAAGTTTTATGTCTATAAACCATCATACGATCATAAACCGCCGTGAAGCGTGCTTGCAATTTCAGCCATTCGGGGTTCTTTAACGAGCAAACTAAACCTAACCTTACGTGTCTATAACGTTTCGCTCACATCTAAATGCGGCCACTGCGCTCGGGATTTATTAACGCGACCTTCGACACAGCAGCAAAGCGCCATAACCACCACTGGACCGCCGCGGCGGGTTGCTGTTACTAAAGGGTCCCTGAAACGGTTTTTTCACATTCTGTTTCTGATTAGATCACTACTGGAGCTAATCATTGGCACCAGAGTTCAATCGAAACATCAAGTAGTAATGGAGCCACGAGTACTAAAAAAGGACCCTCCTCCTCCGTTCTGACTTTCACCCTGAACTGCCCTCAACTCTTCCTTCTAGCGCTCGGGGCAAAGATCCGCCTTCACGGCGCCTCCGTCACGATGTGGCGTGACACCACGTGCGCGTAAATCCCGCCGCCTATCTGATACCGGCAGTCTGTGCTGCACGTGCCACAGCCAATCAGAACAGCTGAAAATGGCGACGTCAGAGGGGCAGAGCGTGTCACTTGTTGTATGGGTGGTTTAAAACGCGTTTGGCCGAGTCGCAGGGATCTGGAGTGATTCGCAGCTTCAAAGTGGTGTAGTAAATTACAAATTTCACGCTGTAAGCTCAAATTGGTCTCTAAATTACCCTTGGGACTGGGTATACCAGCCAAATTTGTTTGTAAAAAATCGTCAAAACCGTGTTCCTTTAAGCGCCGCACTAGTCTACGATAAACTGCAATACTCCCGTTTCCTCGGCAAGGATGTAATTACGTACAGCAAACGGGCATCTTACGGTTTTTATTACTGTATTTTTGGGACACCCGCAGTAATATTAAAAGCTCAAATACTTGAACAGAAACATGCGAGCTTTCTAATCGGAAGTTTTGAACAGCAAAATATAGCTTTATTTTTGCCCAGCTTCGTTTACTTATACTGTAGTCAATAAATGTTGCGCTATCAAGGAATTGATGCGAACAGAAAACATGACTTCTTTCATGCAATAGTTAAAAACACGTATTTGCTACCCTCATTGCAAAGTGCGTTGGCACATTTTAATACATTGGCGAGAGTTTACTGGGGCACCTTACGTATATAAAAAAAATGAGGTAACAACGTGTCATTAAAATATATGTGAAGCCTCGTCGTACGGCTGCATATAAATAGGCACGATACACTAAGTTTCCTGAAAAGAGACTAGTGATTAATACAACGCGATATTTTACTTCGAAGTGAGTACGCTCATATGAGAACGGAGTATCTACTGGACCGCAGGTATCATCGCTGTTTAGCTTTGCGAACCGGCTGCAGAACCTTGTGAACGAGATGCTTCGCATGAACATAAAGCTGGAGCAGGTTCGCAAGGTGTCCGTCGGTGGTAGCCTGGTCACCGAAACACTAGGCTGCAGAGCCATGCAAGCGTTTCCCATGCTTCGAAACTTTCGAAACTTTTATGGCATGACTGAAACCTGTGGCCTCATCTCAAATCCCGGCCAGGATGAGATCGACTTCGTGGACCTCGGAGTGCCCACGCCGAATGTTGAGATCATGGTAAGCCTATTGCATCCCAATGACGCAACCACGGAGAACTAGCGTTTGTATTTTCAGTGGTGCTAAACAAGTAGGCTGAATCTAAATAATAGCAAGATTATTAGAAATAACAACTGGGTGGTATGGAAGTATTTTTACTGTTCCAAACACTTGCGCCACAGGTTTTTCCCACGCCACCGCGGACGCTGTGTTGTTGAGGTGTTAGGGTTGCGTCAGAGCCGGACTGCGTTTGGTAGTTTGACTGAGTCTCTGGGCTGAGGAGAGGAACCGATGCTCGCAGGTTGAGAGAAGACAACAAATAAAATGGTTCTTTATCTTCGTGTTTCGTTGCCATTGTCATCGAAAGACGATATTCTTGCGTCTGCAGAGCAAAACATGTATTCGATGTTCGAGTTCGTTTATTCGATGTTCGTTTATTCGAGTGAGCAGAACATTTATTCGATGTTCTGCATAAGAAAATCGGTGAATGGGAATATGCAGGCCATGCCTCCAAAGTCAGATGCAGTTACTCTAAACGGTGCGAGACATGACTGTCATCTGGCACTCACCTTGAGAAACGAAAGTATGACCTTTGGCATGGCAAGCACGCAGCTGGCGCACCCATTTCGGAGATCATAATGTGTGGAACGCCAGGCAACGGGTAGGAGGCACCACCGTGTCGCCTTCGCAAAGCGTAGGAAACACTTGCCTTTTCGTGCATAGTGTTGCACTGTTAGCACAGCGCGATAACCGCTACGGTCCTTATAATTATTTAGGTAAGGCTTCTCTGGTATGAAGAACACACCACATAGTATTGGCATGTTGATATTGTGGCTCAGATATACGCTATATTTTCTTTTTATTCATCAATTGCACAAGTATGAACGCAGAAAGCAGAGCGTTATTTGTGGGCGCTGCGGATCTGGCTGAATTTCGGCCGTTTCGGGTATCGTTTAGGTGGACAAGCACAAGCGGACATATAGACAGACAGGCCAAAACTTTTGCGTCGAATACCCCAAAAGAAACAATCATCTTTAAAACTGATTCACTGGCCTTTTTCTGTTCTCTATTTATTAGGCAGAAGCTCAGCTATGAATGAACTGTATTTGTCACTAACAGAGGGCCAACAATGCCTTGTTTTACTCAGTACACTTAATACCATCGTTTTCACTGTTCAGGCTGGATTCCGTTTTTCAAACATCTTTCATTGTGTACACCTATTCGGTATGCGCTCTGCAGCTGTAGCGGGAGTTATTTGTAGCGCTTCTCTAGACCTAAAGCATTGTCACCATATAACAGGCTTGTGAACAAATTAATTTCCTTGCTATTTGCTAAAGTGCTACAAAATTACAGACAATTTCCGCAAAGGGAACTTTGAAGGGTTGCGAAGCAGCAGTGATGCGCACGCAGTTGAACCGACTGAAACGGGTGTGGACGTGGTTGTTCGAAAAAGATATGAAGCGAAACTCGGAGTAGATTTTAATGAAGTAAACGATTCTTTCTAACGCAAAGACACAGAAGGCTGGTTGGCTTTCTTGTAAGTTTCATCGCAGATAAACGAGACAAAAGTGTGTTTCCACTAGATGCGTGGTCGAGCGTTGCGGGCAGTGGGGATGTTGAAGTGAGAGAGAAGTGTGTTGTCAGCAGTTTGAGGAGCACCACCACCTAAGTAGAGTGTACTAAAATGTTTTCAGTGGCGCAACTGAAACCAGGAGTGCTATGCAAAGCAGTGTCCCTTCTTTCATAGAGTTTCCTAAATATACACTAGAGGGAACTCTGGCGCTAGTGTCTATGAGAGCTGCAACGCAGGGCGCTTCAGCGAGCGTGGGAAATGATTTGTCTAATCAGATTTGTCTAATCTAAACACGGGTTTGTCTAATCTTCGTACTTCTCGCTCTACGTGCGTTCGTGTGGCTTGGAGCTATCTTCTCATGGAGCAAAAATCAGCAAGTGTTCAGCGCTTGCGCTTCGCCACTTTATCTTTTTCGGCTTACCTTTTCAATTCGGCCCACAGAGTTCAAAAGCGTTTGCTCTTTCTTGCGAAACGAACCCGAAACCTAGCAATAAAAGAAGCCACAATTGCGATTCGCGGCCCACAAGTTCGAAGACTAGGCAAAGGTCGTGTACTACCAAGCATTCTCATGGCCGCTTAACAGTCGCAACGCCAGATCCCCCTCTAGTTAATATTAAGAAACTCCATGCCTTCTTTCGTAGAAAGTGGTGATGATTGTCACAAGTCCCGTTAATTCGGGATGCGATCGCTGAGCTAATTCCAAGGGCCGAAGTATCGGCCCCCCCGAACCGCACCACGAAAGCGTGGACAATTTAGAAGTGGTCCTTTTTGGCGCGCCAGCGGACGCCGGCTGTGGCCCAAAGAACAAGTCAGAGCTGAGAGTTGATAAGCAAAACAAAATTATATTCTCAATAATGGCAGATCAAAAACAATACACAAGTATGCACACTCCACAATAGTTCAATACAATATGTCACCAATCAAACAACGTACTACCCAGTACAATCAGCCACACTCGAAACAACGGACACGGACAACAATACGCACTACAATGCAGTCGCATGCATTGAACAATGAAGACACTAAGGAATAAAGAGTTAGAAAACTTATTCAGTCCAAAGTTCTTGGAACAAAAGTCTGAATGATACTCTTCCGAGAATCACTCACTCAAAGTTCAGTGTTGTTGTCGCTCCGCTGCCTCCGAAGTTTCTCTTCCAGGAAACCTCGCGTCTTCAATTGGCCACTCTCCAAGCTTCAACCTTCTTCGCCGGAACCACGTCGGCTTCCCACACGCAGCTGTTGCCACGCGTCTTCGCTCGATAGCGGTAGACACACACTCTTGCCTGTAGCTCGGGTCTTCACCCCTCAAGTGGAAATCCTCTTCTTCTCCTTTTCCTTCTTCTCCTCCTTTGTCAAGGAAGACAAAAGGCTTCGCCCACAAGGCAGTACACCCTACGCACACTGGCGCATACTTTCTTCTTCTCCTGCTTTGTCACTAAAGAGAAAACCTTCACCGACTGACGCGGCGGGATACCCTACGCACTCTGGCGTTAACTTCCTTCTTCTGCTGATCTCCCATCTCGGCTGCTCGATTAAATACCTTCCGGCGAGATTCTAAAAAGTTCTCATCATTTCGTCGGCGCGATACGCAGCGAAGGCTGGGGAGAGGGCGAGACGATACGGGGGCCGTCCGTGACAGATGACTCAACCCTGCATCACCACGCCCCTTTCCATCTAGAAAGTTCCAGGATTTGCTCGGGCGCCGATGCGAGGAGGTTCGACGGTGAACCTACGCTTCCGAGGGGAGAGGGTCGCGCGCCCGAGGAGCCTTCGGATGATTGTTTTATTTTTTTCTTTGACCTCTCGGCGCTTCGTCGCGAGAATTCGGCGGCGCGCCCTTTTTGAGCGTTCGTTTTGTGACACTGCCCCCCACTTTAAGATTATCTCGTAATATTCAAAACCACACAAACGAGCGCGAACAGTCCCCACAATCTCAAAGACTGTAACATAATTCGTCGCTCATGACACTTCACAATTCACAATAGATCACTCAATACAATTGTACATTGGAATTTATTCTCACAACACATGAAATATAACCACAGGTGCATGAGTACAACACTCCATCATATATTCCAGACAATAGAAATGTACAAAGTTCTCTCATTACAACAATTGTACAATACTATACAAGACATCACCGTAACAAATATTTTGACTCACTCGACATACAGTTGTTACACAGGATAACACCCACATTAACACAACATATTGCACTCAGTACTGCCAAACACATTCCGATTCGACCTCAGCACCAATCTTGTGTATTTCGAGCTGCGCTTGCGTCCTATCTTGTGGTGCTCGCTCAATCTCTTCTTGTTTTTCCTCGTTATTTTTGGTGAGCCCTTTCCAACGACGGGGTCTGAGGCGGTATCTCAGCCATCGTTGTCACTTCCGACACTGTTAACGGGTGATAACGTTCAACCGATCCTGTTCGGCCATTCACCCGCTTGTTCATGTCACGACATTGTGTCTGGCTGGCCGACTCCGTCATCTTTACATTGTCGGTCAGTTGAGGTCGAGCCGACGTAAGTCCAGCTGCCCAGCACGTAAACTCATTCAATACGATGATGTTCTCATTCACTGTCTCTTGCGCTCAGGTTTTCACCTTGGGCTCGAGTGAAATCCTTCGCGCAATTGTTCTCTGCTGTATCTCGCGGGCCCTGTGTCTGCGGTGGCTCCATCTTCGGGTCTCTCCTCAAACATTCTGGATCATTCGGCCCTCGCGCCCCGTCGATGTTTCCGATGACGAGGTCGTACAGGGGGGTTGTCATGCATAGAGCGGTAACCTTCCCACTGAAGTACGGGGTTTCAACCTAAATTTCTGCTTCGAGAAGCATCCAAACCGTACTGTCAATTAGGCAAACTGGTTTAGTTTTGCCTGTTAACTCACTTTTCCGTACCAAATTTCTCCGCACGATAACAGTGGAGCTACCGGTGTCTCTTAACACCGTAACCTTCTTGCTCGCAACTTTTCCAGGCAGCGTTGGCATTCCCTTCATAACACCGGTGGGCTCTTTTGTCATTACAGAACCCACAATAGGAAGTTTCTCCCCATTTTTCAACTCTACGAATCCGTCGGTGATGTCATCACCATCGGATTTCGGTGCTGCTAGCACACAGAATACCTGGTGAGTTTGACTCACTCCGCTACGACAAGCGTCTGCTTTGTGCCCAGTCTGACCACACTTGAAACATTTTACTACCGTAGGGCTCGTAAAGTGAGTACGACAGTTGTTCGCGCTATGACCCACTCGGTTACACAGGAAACATTGCGGAACACTCTTCGGTGCACGCTTCTTTTGTTCGGGTGCCGAACTTTTTTTAATCTTCGGGACACTCTTTCTTGACTTTGGCCAAATTAGTTCCACCTTGCGCTTCCAAGAGTTGATCAGCCAATTCAAGCATGCCTTCAAGTGACTCAGCCTTCCTCTCTTTCAAGTACAGC